GCCTCACCCAGCCTCTTCCAGGGCCAGCGGGAGCCCCAGGGTCCCTGAAGGCCTCACCGCTGCCTGGCTGTCATGGAGACGAAGCTGCCCCCTGCGAGTACCCCCACCAGCCCCTCGTCCCCGGGGCTGTCACCGGTGCCCCCACCCGACAAGGTGGATGGCTTCTCCCGCAGGTCCCTCCGCAGGGCCCGGCCCCGGCGGTCCCACAGTTCCTCCCAGTTCCGCTATCAGAGCAACCAGCAGGAGCTCACTCCACTGCCCCTGCTCAAAGGTGAGCCCACCGCGGCTGCCAAGCTGAGGGTAGTTAGCAGCAGCTGGCAGCTGCCGTCAGAGGGCGTTTGGGTGGCCCCTTCCAGGTGAGGGACTCCACCATCCGAGCTGACCCCCACCCCAGCCCTCTCTGCTGACACATGGCCTGATGGGCCTGTCATCCTTGGAGGTGGGGCATCTGGAGGCGGCGCCACCCTGGGGGGCAGACCATGGCCAAGGGTGGGGCCCGCAGCCTGGGTTCCAGAGGCCACTTGAGGCCCAGGCGCTGCCAGGGTCCTGGAGCAGGTGTTTAGCAAGGCTCCCTGGGGTCACTGTGTAACCCCCAACCTCTGGGCTACAGGGCCTGGCTGGCTGGTGGGCTCTGACCTTTCACCCCACTTCCGGCTGTTAGGACAGAGTGCCACCTATGAGAGGGAGAGTGGCTGTTGGGGGCCCCTGGGGAACCCCAGCATTCAGGGTCTGTTCCTTGCTTTCACCTCAGGCCACCATGCCCTCTGGTCAGGAGGAAGGGATGTTCCTTTACCCGCAGGAATGGAGGGCGGACGGGAGCCATTGCTCTCTGAAGGGGTGGGATGGCACAAGAGCTTGGGGTCTGGGGGCAGGGGAGGCTGCCTAAGGACGAGGAGGGCTCGCCCCTCCCCAGAGCTGTGGCAGCTGGAGCCCAGGCTCAGCCCCTCCCGCCTTCCCAGATGTGCCGGCCTCAGAGCTGCACGAGCTGCTGAGCAGGAAGCTGGCCCAGTGTGGGGTGATGTTTGACTTCTTGGACTGTGTGGCCGACCTGAAGGGGAAGGAGGTGAAGCGTGCAGCGCTCAATGAGCTGGTGGAGTGTGTGGGGAGCACGCGGGGAGTCCTCATTGAGCCTGTGTACCCAGACATCATCCGCATGGTGAGCACCTGCCACCCGGCCTCCCGGGGGAGGGGGCACCGGGACACTGCTGATCTGGGGGGGGGAGTCGGCGGGGGGCGGTCCTGTGAGAGAAAAACCCACTACCCTCCTGCGAGTCCCTCATCTCCCCTCCCCACTCTGTCCTCCAGTGCACTGACCGGTGCCAGCTTTTGCTTACGCTCTCCCCAGGCCTGTGTGCACTGCCCCCTCCGCCCCCGCCCCAAGTCCCTTATTGCCATGGCCTGGCTCAGGTGCCGCTTCTGCCATGAAACCTCTCTCAGTGCCCGAGCTAGGAAGCTCCCTTTTGCTGGCTGGAATGTCTGCAGTCCTTACTGCTTTCCATCTTGTCTGCCCACAGGGCTGCACCCCCCAGAGGGCAGGATCCCCAGCCCCTGGCCCCGGGCTTCCATGAATTAAGTTCAGGGAATGACTGCCAAGGAGTGAGTGCTGGGGCAGGTGCTGAGGTCCTGGCTTCTGCCTTTGAGGGCTCCCTCTTAGAGAACCCTGTCTGTGTCCCTCAGATCTCAGTGAATATCTTCCGGACCCTGCCGCCCAGTGAGAACCCTGAATTTGACCCTGAAGAGGATGAGCCCAACCTTGAGCCTTCATGGCCACATCTACAGGTATGAGGGCTGGGGAAGGTGGGGGTGGAGCTTTAGAAGAGATGGGAGGACAGCGGGGAGAGACTCCTTAGGTCCTGGACTGATGGGTGAGGGCCACAGGGTGGGGTGAGCAGGGGAGTCTGTTCTCAAACTCACCTTCTTGTCTGTCCCTTCCCCCAGCTGGTTTATGAGTTTTTCCTGCGTTTCTTGGAGAGCCCAGACTTCCAGCCCTCCGTGGCCAAGAGATATGTGGATCAAAAGTTTGTCCTGATGGTGAAGTGGGGAACCCAGGCCGGGCGGTGCCAGGGGGCATGGGGATAGAATGGAAGCAGCCCGGGCTTGGTCTCTCTCCTGACCCTTGACCTGGGTCCCACAGCTCCTAGAACTGTTTGATAGCGAGGACCCCCGGGAGCGCGAGTACCTCAAGACCATCCTGCACCGGGTCTACGGCAAGTTCCTGGGGCTCCGGGCCTACATCCGCAAACAGTGCAGCCATATCTTCCTCCGGTAGGTGCCTGCTGCCTGCCCCGCGGAGGCTGGAGAGGGAGGGGGAGAAGACGGAGGCAAAGGCTCCCCAGCAGGGGGTCCTAAGGAACGCTGGTTGACTGAGTCCTTTCTTGGCAACATATTTTGTAATATTGATTTTTTTTTGTAATATTGATTATTCAAAGCCTGTGAGGTCAGCAGAGAAAGGGCATTTATTTCCATTTTACAGATAAAGAAATAGAGGCCGAGAGAGATGAAGTGGTTTGCAGGGCTTCCGTCAGTCCGGGGTGGGGGTGGGGGTGGGGGTCTGGGATCTATATGTTTTGACTCTTTGTGCTCAGCCATAAGGACCTATAGAAAGATTCCTCCTGCCCGGCTGGCGTGGCTCAGTGATTGAACGTTGACTTATGAACCAGGAGGTCACAGTTCGATTCCTGGTCAGGGCACATGCCCGAGTTGTGCGTGCAGGAGGCAGCCGATCACTGATTCTCTCTCATCACTGATGTTCCTATCTCTCTCTCCCTCCCCCTTCCTCTCTGAAATCAATACAAATATGTATTTTTTTTAAAAAGATTCTTTCTGCAAATGTGTATTGAGCACCAATGCTAGCATAGCCTTGTAGTCGAGACTGGCTCTGAAGTTAGAAGGCCTGTATTTGAGTTTGGTTCCAGTATTTGGGTGCTCGGGCAAACTATTTAAGCTCTCCTAGTCTCCTCATCTCTAAAATGGGAATGAAAGCTGTGTCAGGGACAGCCGTCAAGATGAAGTGAGGCTGAGGCTGGGACTACAGAGTAGGTAAGACACGGTCCCTCCGACTCCCGGAGAGCCCCTGCTTACTCACTTTGGGACAAGCTTCACTGAACCACTGAGCCTCGATTTCTTCATCTGTAGAATGGATCTAGTAAACCCTGCCTCCTGGGATAACTTTGGGAAGTACATAGCACAGAGGAGATGCTCTAAGTGCCTGACATTCTTTCAGTTGACGGGCACGAAGAGTGAAGGACGCAGGCCAGGTGCCTGCTGACTGGTTGGGGACCAGGTCGTGGGGGTTAGGGTCCGGGGGAAGAGATGAGTTGGAATGCTTCCCAGAAGAGGTTTGAGCTGAGA